CACACACACACACACACACACACACACACACACACACACACACACACACACAAAATTAAATCCCACATAAAATCCCTCAAAAATATCTCGACTGGCCAAACATAAAATAGTTTTATTATACCTCAATATCATTGTATAATGATATTAACAGGTAAAAAAATGCACTCTTGGCCACCTGAGGAAAGAAATTTAGTATCAACAATACAATATTACAGGTGTAAAAATGGTCATTCTAACTAACAGGGATAGCATATTGATAAAAATATCAATATATGAATATCAATACATATATATGTACATACATACACATACACTCACCAGCCACTTTATTAGGTACACCTTACTAGTACTGGGTTGGACCCCCTTTTGCCTTCAGAACTGCCTTAATCCTTCGTGGCATAGATTCAACAAAGTACTGGAAACATTCCTCAGAGATTTTGGTCCATATTGACATGAAAGCATCACAAAATTGCTGCAGATTTGTCGGCTGCACATCCATGATGTGAATCTCCTGTTCCACCACATCCCAAGGGCGCCTCTATTGGATTGAGATCTGGTGACTGTGGAGCCATTCGAGTTCAGTGAACGCATCGTTGTGTTGAATAAACCAGTCTGAGATGATTCAGGCTTTAAGACATGGAGCGTTATCCTGCTGGAAGAAGTCATCAGAAGATGGTACACTGTGGTCATGAAGGGATGGACATGGTCAGCAGCAATACTCAGGTTGGCTGTGGTGTTGACACAATGCTCAGTTGGTACTAATGGGCCCAAAGTGTGCCAGGAAAATATCCCCCACACCATTGCACCACCACCACCAGCCTGAACCATTGATACAAGGCAGGATGGATCCATGCTTTCATGTTGTTGACACCAAATTCAGACCCTACCATCCGAATGTCGCAGCAGAAATCGACTCATCAGACCAGGCAACGCTTTTCCAATCTTCTATTGTCCAGTTTTGGTGAGCCTGTGTGAATTGTAGCCTCAGTTTCCTGTTCTTAGTTGACAGGAGTGGCACACGGTGTGGTCTTCTGCTGCTGTCACCCATCCGCTTCAAGGTTCGACATGTTCAGAGATGCTCTTCTGCAGACCTCGGTTGTAACGAGTGGTTATTTGAGTTACTGTTGTCGTTCTATCAGCTCCAATAAAACTGGCCATTCTCCTCTAACCTCTGGCATCAACAAGACATTTGCACCCACAGAACAGCAGCTCACTGGATATTTTCTATTTTTCGGACCATTCTCTGTAAACCCTAGAGATGGTTGTGCGTGAAAATCTCAGTAAATCAGCAGTATCGGGCATACTTAGACCAGCTTGTTTGGCACCAACAACCATGCCACATTCAAAGTAACTTAAATAACCTATATTCTTCATTCTGATGCTCGGTTTGAACTGCAGCGGATAATTTTGGCCATGTCCACAGGCCTAAATGCATTGAGTTCCTGCCATGTGATTGGCTGATTTGACTTTTGCATTAATGAGCAGTTGGACAGGTGTACCTAAAAAAAGTGGCTGGTGAGTGTATATGTATTATAAAATTTTAATATGAAATTTGCTGTTCAAAAACTATAAATCAATTCAGTTTTTGAACTGAAGACTGAGGACATGATGGGGACATTGGTGAAATAAATACTTAAAATGGGTTTCTTGTGTGCACTAGAATCTATTTATCTAAAAAACACACTTTGACACTAATTTCCTATAACAGATGTATAATATTACATTTGAATCAATTTTTAGTTTTATTACTGTAGAATGTACTTTACACTGTAAATGTAGTTATAGGCAGTGATGTGCACAGTTCCTCTCATCCACTAACCCCAGCGTATGTCCCGTCACTAAACAAACATGACAACTTTAGCCAGAAGCAAAAATAGATCGAAAGTAGCAAAATATTAATATATTAATAT